CAATTGCAAACGGCACTTCCATTAGAAATAGACGTGCTAAAAAGAGGTGAAAACTCGCTTCAGCCGAAAATGTATTGTATCAGTGTATTTATTTAGTATTTTTAACGAGTTTCGGTAATTTTTGCATTTGGCGTTTCGGGATTTTTTTGAGATGAAAATGCATTTACACTGCAATGGCGCCGTTGTAAGAAAATTATTGTTGGTGCACGACCGAGTAGTCTTTCAACGGCTCGGAATTGAGCAATCGATCTCATATTTAAAATAAAATGTTGCTATGCTTTTTTTTAAGGAAAAGACCAACCTCCTTTTTGGCAAGACCTGGAACCTGTTGTACCAAAATTTTCATTTTTTATCTTAAGAACAAGTAATTTAAAGGCGCATCCACCTCCCAAAAAAGGTTTGCTTGTGCCGATCAGTTGTTCGCTTCTGGTATTCTCTATATAAACAGAAATCCGCTTAAAGTTGCAACATCAGTCTCGAAATAAATATATCAATTTTATAAAAAATACAGATGTGATATATTATTAACAAGCCTGGTAGCCAGTCTAGGCCTAATTAACAGAGAGAAAGAACATGGAATGAAGAGTGGAGCCTCCGATACCAAGAGCAGCGTTCCCTGTGGGAGCACCCAATGATATTTTAACAAATCTTGGGTCGCATTCTACTCTAATTGGTCCGATTCCAAATTGCGAGTCGCTGTTCTTTTGATGCCTTAGATCTGCCGCTGCTCCATTGTCCAAGGATCGTGGACTTTTGTTTCAGTCGGTGTCGGCACAACAGGTTCAAAGGGCAATCGACCTGTGCGAGGGAAATCAAAAATATTCCTGTTGCATAATAATAAACAGAGCCCACACTCACCGCAATTTTCAATTTTTCGAAAAACAATTAGGGTATTCAATTGCGTTGCAAAAGTGTAAAGTTTGCCAGACGAGAATTATGAACGGCCTCGATTTTAAAATAACGTTGCAGGAAATTGACGTACAAAAGAAAGATAACTTTTAAATTTTTGTATTGCTCCAACATATAATGTAGGACTTTATTAACTGCGCTCTCAGACCATCGCTTAGTTTCGACCTCTCTGGCTTGCTTTCTTGAGGGTTTTTCTTCCATTGAAATTGTTATTCAATGATTTTGTTTTATAGAAGACAAATGTTTTTCTTTTGCATTTAAAATTCAAATTTGTTTCTTTTCTTTCACTGTCATTACCATGGATTTGAACCCAACTTTTCAGTATACTTTTAGTATTTTAGATAAAATTCCTACCCATTATTAACCCCCTATTTCTACACAAGTACAACAGATTTGTATACATAGGCTGGGGTGTTGTAGGCCTTGAAAACTATTTTGTATGGAAATTGTTGTTGGAACTGCTTACACTTTTACACTTTTCAAACGTTTGCAATACCCTAAATATTTTTAAACAACTTGTAAACTTCTTTTGGTATCTAGCGCAAAGGGATCATTTTGTGGGTTATTTTATGGAAATCAAAAATTCAGAAAATAATATTAACTAAAAAACAAAATTTAAACAAAAAAATAATTTATCATCCTTTTTTTGGTTATTTTATGGAAATCAAAAATTCAGAAAATGATATTAACTAAAAAACAAAATTTAAACAAAAAAATAATTTATCATCCTTTTTTTGGTATGTAGCGCAAAGGGATCATTTTGTGGGTTATTTTATGGAAATCAAAAATTCAGAAAATGATATTAACTAAAAAACAAAATTTAAACAAAAAAATAATTTATCATCCTTTTCTTGGTTATTTTATGGAAATCAAAAATTCAGAAAATGATATTAACTAAAAAACAAAATATAAACAAAAAAATAGTTTATCATCCTTTTTTTGGTTATTTTATGGAAATCAAAAATTCAGAAAATGATATTAACTAAAAAACAAAATTTAAACAAAAAAATAATTTATCATCCTTTTTTTGGTTATTTTATGGAAATCAAAAATTCAGAAAATGATATTAACTAAAAAACAAAATTTAAACAAAAAAATAATTTATCATCCTTTTTTTGGTTATTTTATGGAAATCAAAAATTCAGAAAATAATATTAACTAAAAAACAAAATTTAAACAAAAAAATAATTTATCATCCTTTTTTTGGTTATTTTATGGAAATCAAAAATTCAGAAAATGATATTAACTAAAAAACAAAATTTAAACAAAAAAATAATTTATCATCCTTTTTTTGGTTATTTTATGGAAATCAAAAATTCAGAAAATGATATTAACTAAAAAACAAAATTTAAACAAAAAAATAATTTATCATCCTTTTTTTGGTTATTTTATGGAAATCAAAAATTCAGAAAATGATATTAACTAAAAAACAAAATTTAAACAAAAAAAAAATTTATCATCCTTTTTTTGGTATGTAGCGCAAAGGGATCATTTTGTGGGTTATTTTATGGAAATCAAAAATTCAGAAAATGATATTAACTAAGAGTTTTGGCCATAATATGATCAGAGACATCGAACAAAAAGACATCTAATACCTTTTTACCCTCACAAGTTGCAGTCCTCATTAGTGTCAAGGCGACATATAAATTTGGCACCAACTAGACAAAATTCTTGAGTGGCCAATTAATATGCATATGCAGGGACCACGCCCTCTTGGCCACTCACAGGTGGCGTAACTGGGTTATCCGCCCTACAGCCCTGACTTTGCACCTAATGACTTCTTTTTATTATTATTTAACAAATTAAGCTTATCATACAATGTTAAACTTAATACTAAATTTCAGAGCACTGGCTGCGGAGGCCTTCGACTGACTTCTTTTTATTTCCGTACATCAAGAGAAAAATGCGTGGACAACGATTTTCGTCGTTAGAAGACGCTGCTGAAGTGTTCAAAAGCCATATTTTTTAGGTCTCTTACTCGGAGTGGAGAATCTGCTTCGACGATTGGTTAGAGCTTGCATGCGCTCATAAATCTTGCTGGCGAATACTTTGAAAAACAAGTGAACCATTTTTGGTGATACTATAATGTAATATAAATAGCAACCTACGTACTTCTGACTCCGACCATTTTGGGCACATTTGGTTTGGATACTGGCCAATGATAACACCCCGGGACAGTTTTTAGAATGCTTCTTTGAGTATGCCTTGCTATACATATGAACAATTTAGTACTCAGACAATACGTAAACTTAATTTACTTGAATGTATCAGACTGTCTTTCAAAGTACGGGGGATTTGAAACCAACCAAAAAATAATAACCCCTGATCACAATATATATGCGCAATTCTCTTCTGTCGCACGCGACAGTCGTGCGCTTTAAGGCTGAAAAGAAAAACGTGTTCAAATTTTTTCTTTAACATATGCATATTTTGGCTAGTTGGCTTGCTGAAAATATATTAAATGGTTTTCTTAATAACATTTTAGTGACTGTCGCACGCTACATGTCCGTCATGTAAGGTTTTTTTCTTTGACCGTCAAATTAATGGTTTTGTACCAACTTTAAAATATACCAAAGAATACTATTGCCCATATTGGGCATATATATTATTATATATATATATATTAGTAGGTGTTGCCCTTAAAAATGTTAAAGGATATGCAAATTGCTTAGTTTAGTTGAGGATCTATCTAATTAGAAACACACATCGGTGCAAAATCATAAAGAAATATGTTCAAGTTTGAAGGTTTTTGGCCTGGTTCTCGGAAAATTGCTTATAAGAGTTTTTCTTTGTGAAACGTATCAAGTTTTTCCTTATGGTCCCAAACGATTTCTTATTCAAATCACGAAAAAATAATCCATTTTACAGCTGTAAAGATATTGCGATGCATTATTTCTGTTCAGTTTATTTATAAATTTAAATTACATGGTGTACAAAAATAATTAAAATTCTCATAAATTACATCAGCTTACCTAAAAATATACCATTTTTTTTAAAGTTTAAAAATCGTTTTTCGCACTTTTTTATTTTCTAACTCGAGTTCAGATAAACGCAGCAAAAACGCTGGCATTAATGGCTTCTTTAAAAACACACGCCTTAAAATCGAAATTAGTTTTATGTTGTTTTCTTGAAGGCTGAACTTTAACGGAGAATATGAGACACTGATCACGACAATCCGTTGGTAAATCGATTATTTACAGATTTTTAAATTTAAGCCCAAGTTCAGTATTCGGGAGCAGCGGCTGTTAAACATTGATTTAAATTTTCAGTGTTGGGGAACGTAAGAATTTGGTGCCAGTTGTTTTGCATAACGTCAGTTTTATAACGGTTCTCTGCAAATGGGCATCTTTAATTTTTATTAAAAAATAATATAATGTTCTATACATAATCCTTGTTGAACCCCAAATTTTTCGTCGTGGGGCCTCAATTATTTTCCCCACAATTTAATAAAATAGTTAGTATAAAAAAAATAAAGAGAAAACGCTATAGTCGATGGCCTCGACTATTAGATACCCGTTACTCAGCTTAAGGGAGTGCGAGAGCGATGGAGACATGCTTAAAGCAACTTTGCCTTTTTTGGAATTAGGCATGCAGATTCTAGAGACCCAGCTCAAGTTTATTTCAGCAATGTGCCAAGCCCACTCTAACGCCCACAAACTGTGGCGCCCCCAGTCGCCATTATCTCTTTATTCTGACCTGCAGTGCATTCACATAAGTGGAAAAGAAAGAGACGGAAGATCGTTTACCCAGTGTTGAAAAACACTAGAAGGCAGTAAAAGGAATGAAAATTTGTCTACGTAACAGCGCTGTAAATCTTTCTGCTTTCCTATTAGTCCCTTTTGCGAATCTTCGAAGCGCATTCCAATTTTAAGGCGGCCATCTTAACATTTTAACTTAACTTTTATCCATTTTCAATTTAAAAGCTTTTTAATTAATATTGTAACGATCTGTTTTTGTCAGTTTTGCTCGTTTCCTAATCGATGTGACTAGCTCTCCACTCATTTTTATGTAGTTTAGTTTGTATATACCTTATTTCTAAAAAATTGTATAATATATTATCCTAATTACATTTATTTTATGCAAATATGCAGATCGACTGTGACCGCGACGTGTTTCAGCTGAGTTACATTGAGAGCAAGCTCTTTCACTACGAAATGAGAGAAGATGTCTGCTTCCATCCGTGGTCCTTTACCAACATGATTTCCCTGATCCTTGGCGTAAGCTACACCTTCTCGCGCATCCCGTTTGCCCTCAAGATATTCGTTAGCGGCTGCGAAACCATCGCCTTCATGTTGATCGTGCTTTTCCAGTTCTCGTTCAACTTCCAGCACAGTGCCACCACAATCCCGTTTATGAAAGCGGAAGTATCGCACTGTCTTCGGGTGTGCATGATGTTGGCCACTATGTATGCAAAGGAGCGTCATTCCGAGTTCAACACAAAAATGAACTACAAGTGAGTGCAAAAGATAAAAATAAAAGAGACTTATGCCATGTATAACATTTTTCCACTTAACGATCTTAATAGGCTCAACGTTGACTTGCAAAATAAGCAAAAGGCGGCTGACGTTACAAACCAATCAATTGTAATCTTGCTCAATAATATTCTCCCTTCGCATGTTGGTCAGTTTTAAGTCAAATTTTTCGAAAATTACCATACACATTGTTTATGGTTTCTCTTCCGCAGTCAACCTCTACCTCAATTCGTTAGCCAAACATAAACTCTACTATGAAAATTATCAAATGGTATCGGTGATGTTCGCTATGTTAATCAATTTCCCAATGAATTTGGCCAGCTTACGAGTGCTAAACGAAATCATAACTGAATTTGATAGACTGGTAAGCTAAAGTATTTGTGTCTTCATTAAGGGAATTCCTGCGTTCTCATCCGAGTTAAAAATATTTTAAAAAAAATATCACATTTTCGGCCTAGTTTCAGTTTTCACTTTCGTGAGATTCACACAGTTTCGAATTTCCAAGTTCGAAAAAACTGCACGGATTCGAATTTCCCTCTGTTGTTACTCTGTTAACTTTAACATTTAAGCATTTGACTGACGGAATTAAATCCGCCACCATATTAACTAATTGCTTAACTTAAATTTGTGGTTGCTCTTCAAAATCGTGTAAGTTCTAACCTATACAATTTTTCAAATCCGCTCGGATTTTGCTACGCAAAAAAAATGTTCTTTTTTGATGAGATCTGAACATTATCTATTATGTTCGATTTACTTTCATAAGAAAGAATATTAATCCGAAATGTCTAAAAAATGTTTTTGTTTAAAACACCACCTAATTTAATGTTGTAATATATTATTAAATACCTAGCGAAAAGTTTTAATGAATGTTAACAGAGCAATACTAAGAGATATTCGGATCCGTGCAGTTCTTTCCGATATGAATCTTTCGGCAGTGAAAACTGGATCAGGGCCGATAGTTTTCTCAACAGTTTCCTCAAAGTAAGAACGAAACGCACTCAAAAAAAATTTCTCAATGTTTCATTTTATTAAGACCTTCTTAAGGTAGCAACTAAAAGAATTCAAAAAATCTCAAAAGATTTTAATTATAAAAAGTTCTTGTTGATTCAATTTAGATTTTTCTGTTTACCATTTTGATCTGATGGTGATATTCGGTTTATAGGAACGCAGGTTCTCAATTCAAGAACAATGTTCTTGGTTTATCCTCTGTGCGATATTTAACAGATCTAATTTTTCCTTCCGATCGCAGTTGATGGCATACAGGGAATATCATGTAGTTGAGAAAATCAAGGTCGTTGGTTGCACTTACATGGCAGCATGTGGATTGGATTTCAATTTGGCCTCAAACATCCGTCAAAGCAGTCACTTTCGCAATAGTTCACTTCATTTCGAGGGTAAGTAGTGAAAGAGCATGCTGTTCCTCTCACCAATTTGTATCTGCAAGCTGTTGCAGGAAGACTGTCTAGTATTTAATGTTTGCTTCTCTATCAAAGACATTATAGCGAGGTTAAATTGTATTTTGATAATTTTGAGGGCAATATTTTTTGTTCTTGTTCAAAGAACAACTTACATAAATAAGATTTTTTCGAACTGTTGTTTAAATTTATTAAACTATTTTTATTATTGTTATTCTAGTTGAACAGGCGCGCACTCACAGGTCGACTGTGGGCGCCACCGAAGATAACTACAACGACGATGTCAACAATGATGAGGCGGTGTTCATGATGACCACGTTCGCTCTGGACCTGATGCGAACCCTCTCGGCGTGCAACAGGGCCCACTCGGATTCTTATTTCGAGCGGTCTTTGTCCAGTGCAGAGATCTGCATTGGAATCTCCAGTGGCGAAATAATGGCCGGCGTGGTGGGCGCCTCCCAGCCGCACTACGACATCTGGGGAAACCCGGTCAATATGGCCTCCCGAATGGAATCAACGGGGCTGCCTGGGCACATCCAGGTGACGGAGGAGTCCGCCAAAATTCTCCAGGAGTTTGACATTCTGTGCATCTACCGCGGAATGACCTTTGTTAAGGGCCGTGGTGAAATACCCACATACTTCGTAGGCATCGATGAAAACCTGAAGTTCATGTCCGCGAAATTGGCCAATCACAGTTGGTCGAGACGTTTTTCAGTCATGTCTTCACTCACTCCAAACTCTCAAGGTACAGGTTCTTCTGATTGGGATGGCACAAGTGATAGTTAAAAAAAATAAATATTTATTTCAAACGTAACTCTTAACAGCAAACTTTTTGTGTAAAACTATAAAGTAAACATGTAGGCTCTTAGAACACTGTTCTTTTTAAAAGCATTCAAACAAAACGGTCGAACACTTGGAAACAATCCAGAAATATGAACAGAAAAAAAGCTCAAAAAACTTCGTTCAGAGAAAGGTTTAGACCATGTCATCTTGACTATTCTGAGGAGCGCAAGTGGGAACCAAGCTATTTAAAGGTAATAACGGTTAGGGTGTTACGTTAATGTGGGTCGATTTCCCGTCCGCTAATTAAACAAAAAGTTGGTAATAAATCTCTTTGGTCTGTATCAAAACTATACGACACTAAAAAATTTCACATCGACCATCGAGCCGCTATCAAAGGACTTTTTTGTAGTACGACTAAAGACGAAAAATATAAAATATATTTAAAAATGTAAACAAAAGTTTAACAAGTTCCAAAGTGTCATATATTTATATGCGGACAGAAAAGAAAACGGAAATAAATGTGTCATCCTTAGGCTAGATGTAAGGAGTTGGATTTGGAAGAAGAGTATAAGAAGTATCAGGTCCGCCTGATGATCAGTTACCTGAGCGTTTTCTATCCCTTGTTTATAATAGTAGTCGTCGGCCTTCAAGTAGTCGCATGGTCTTGCGCCGAGGTGAATGCTCTCTGTTGATCTATCCAGCTGTTTTTGCCTAATTTTCTTTTATTCAGTATACCAAATTCACCCACCTGGATTCGATTATGGCCGGGATAACATTACTTCTAGTTACTGGTATTATGGGTATAAATTTCTTCGAGAGCTTTGTAATTCGTCATAGGTGGGTTTTGGTTTTTACCTCGGTTTTGTCTGCGTATGTTGTGGTATTTGCCGGTAAGTCAAATGAGTTATGCCCTTGACTATTTCCCACTCATTGACCATTCATTTTCAGATATTGCACATGTCACATATCATTATTACAAGACCCATTGGCCTCTCAATACCACCTATGACGTCTTTGTGCTATGCATGATTTACATGTTTTTGCCGATACCCTCGATCGTTGGAGCAGCCGTACTGGCCACCTCAGTCAGTGCTTTGTACATTGGCTACTTTATTTTCTTTCCAGCGAGTGAACCAGAAAGCCTAGCGCGCAATATTAACGGCACTTACATGATATCTGTCGACGTATTCCACTACGTGGGTTTCAATATGATGGGGATATTTTTCCGCATCATGAACGACATTATGGTGCGCGCCTCCTTCCTGGACCGCCACCAGTTCATTAAGGAGGAGATGTGGTTGCGTCACGCCCTGCGCCAGGAATCAATGTTGCTGGACAGCATCCTGCCGCCTCAGATAGCAAAGCCCATCCACGATTTCATCAAAAACAAAATCACCCAGTCAGAGAACGGTCCCGACCGTATCATTCTGGGTAGTCCCCGGAGAAGAGAAAACTTCATGGCCATCCAGATCCATCCCGACGTCTCTATCCTTTACGCAGATGTGGTGAACTACACCCACTTGACAACGACTCTGACGGTGGAGAAGCTAGTCAAGGTCCTGCACGACCTCTATGGCAGATTCGATATGGCTGCCTCTACTTTCAATGTGCAGCGCATCAAGTTCCTGGGTGACTGCTATTATTGTGTGTCTGGCTTGACGGAGGCTGACCCCGATCACGCCAAAATGGCCGTGTCCCTGGGCATTTCCATGATTGCCAACCTCCAGGAGGTGCGGTATGTCTGCAATTGAGATTAGGATTAGACCTACACACAAAAACAAGACAAGGACTAGAAAAATTATGTAAAGGCATCGGAGTTTATAAAGTTTGATATATTTTATATGGGAAAGTTAGGATCCCATATAAGATATCTGTAGGTTCATATCCGTCTGTTAATTTGCAATACCAGTTTAAAAGCAATCGATAAAAAACTTTCCCAATCGTCAAACTGCGCTGCTCCCATTGTATTAGTTTTGGTAAACTTTCAAAATTGTGATGTCTTTGAAGTCATTTTCCACTTTTTAAATGCGTATTGCATGAATTATGGTAAATAATTCGTACATGCACGTCTTTTACCCTGAGTGTAGTTCTGATCTAAAAAAGTTGAGAAGTATGTAGGTGCAGTTCAGACGTAATCTTCCGATCCCTAGGGCTGAACAAGACTTGGACATCGACATGAGAATAGGTGTTCATTCAGGAACCCTGTTTGCAGGTGTCATTGGACAGGCCAAGCTGCAGTTTGACATATGGGGTAAGCCCTCCTTAAAAGGAGATGTAAGTAATTCCTTTAATTAAAACTGATCAATGACTTTTTAGGGGCTGACGTGGAAATCGCCAATCGTCTGGAGGCAACCGGAAAACCTGGCTATGTTCACGTCAGTGGACGCACTCTAAGTAGCTTAGATCCAGAAGACTACAAAATATTCCCGGGTACTGAAAAGGCTCAGGTGGATCCCGTGCTGCAAAAGCATCCGATGAGCACCTACCTTCTAACGGGCGAGGTTAACCGTGACTCAGTCAGATCCGTTGATTTAGTGTCCTCCTTTTCTGACCTTGACATTAGAACTATTCGACCAACCCGGAAAACGCAGATTGTCACTGCTGACGCAATGTCCAATGAGTTGCGTGAGGAGTTTAACAAGATGCCAGTTGGGGGCTTACAGTAAGTGGGGTGTTGGTAATGCAAGAACATCCGAATGCTTTATGCAAAATTAATTATAGTCGTCATTAATTAGACGAATTCTCCCTACTAAAGGTACATAAGGTACATAAATAATACCCTTCATCACAGATTTCGTTTGCCTTGCTGCCGCCGGGATACCAATTCTAATAATGAGAAAGCTGAACACGTATTGGGAATATTTTGTACAGGGTTCAAGGACTCTTCGTTGGAATGGAATTATATGCATCAACCAGACTTCATCTTTAAGTTCTCAATGCTACTGGCTTGGGCTATTGGGGGCTGCCTGATCTTCATCCAAATAGTGAACAGCAAAGTTGATTGTAAAAAATGTATTGTGGTCAATCTGATTGTGTTTTCCCTGCTGACTTCCATGCTATGCCTCGCATGGTACAAGAAAGTGTGTTGGTGGCAGTTTGCATATGACGAGCGCAAAAAGTACAGCAAACTCAGCTGCTTGGCGTTTGATCTGTTCGATAGGATCCAGCACAGTTTTGTCCTGCGCGTTACAGTCTACATGATTATAATGGTTTTGTATTACATGGTGATTTCTTTGATATTAGTGAGTACTGAGAAATGGGTTTATTCCTAGATATGGGAAGGGTGGAAATCAGACATTTTATTTAATTTAAGGTTTGACCAAAGGTAAATAAGTTTGCCCTTTCGGCACCGGTACTTCGTAGTCATAGTAGATCTTGATGTAAGAGTTTATTATAAGACTTATTTGCGAAGAAACGAGTAGAAAGGTGAGGAAATAAGTTACAGTTAAATATAAATTTATATAGAAATGGATTTTAAAAATTCTGTCAGAACTTGTCCACTCTTCCCTTCATTTCTATGTCCCCTGTCAATTTTGTTATCGTAAATTTAAACACTGATCTTTTATCTTTCTAACAATCCCAGATCAAATGTGATCAAAGTCAGTTTGAGTTGGATATCATAGAGAACAAGCTGTTTCACTACGACATGAAAAGGGATTCCTGCTTCAATCCGTGGGTCTTCACAAACATGATTACCCTGATCCTTGGCATGAGTTACACCTTCGCGCGTATCCCGTTCGCCCTCAAGATATGCATTAGTTGCTGTGAAACCGTAGCCTTCCTGTTGATCGTGTTCTTCCAGTTCGCGTTCATTTTTCATCACAGTGCCACCACAACTCCGTATATGAGGGCGGAAGTAGCGCATTGTCTTCGGGTGTGCGTGATGTTGATTACAATGTATGCGAAGGAGCGTCGGGTGGAGTTCAATACCAAATTAAACTACAAGTGAGCCACATGCTTAAACAGCAAATAAGAATCGGATTGACAAATGCTATCCACAGGCAGAACGTTGACTTGCTCAATAAGCAAAAGGCGGCCGATGTTACAAACCAATCAATCATTATTCTGCTCAACAACATTCTCCCCTCTCATGTTGGTCGGTGTTTTACTGAATATCATTTTAGGGACATTAGCAAACATTAACTTGTCCTCTTCTTTCCCCAGTCGACCTCTATCTCGATTCGTTAGCCAAACACGAACTCTACTACGAAAATTATGAAATGGTATCGGTCATGTTCGCCATGTTAGTTAACTTTCAAATGGATTTGCCAAGTCTAAGGGTGCTAAACGATATCATAACGGAGTTTGATAAACTGGTAAGTTGATGTATTGAAGCTGATTTAGTATTTAATCTCCTTCTTCCGACTGCAGTTAACAGCCTACAGGGAGTATTACGTAGTTGAGAAGATAAAAATCGTAGGCTGCACTTATATGGCAGCTTGTGGATTGGATTTCAGCCTAACTTCAAATTTTCAAAGCAGATCCTTTCAATCCGAAAGTAAGTACTTATTCGATTGACACTCCACTATAGCATTGTTACTGATTCTATCTGGTTATTTGTGTATGTCTACATAAGTAATTCTATCTTTATTTCAGTGCAACAGGTTCGCATTCACCAAGAAGCAAAAGGTATCAATGGAAACCATGATGAGGTGGCCTTCATAATGACAACGTTTGCCCTGGACCTGATGCGAATCGTTTCCGTGTGCAACAAAGCGTACGCGGGCAGACCCTTTAATCGGTCCTTATCCTCTGGGGAAATCTGCATCGGCATCTCAACCGGCGAGATAATGGCTGGAGTGGTGGGTGCTTCCCAGCCGCACTACGACATTTGGGGAACCCCGGTAAACATGGCCTCCCGAATGGAATCTACGGGGCTGCCTGGACACATCCAAGTAACGGAGGAGTCGGCCAATATTCTCGAGCAGTTCGATATTCTGTGCATCTACCGCGGCATGACCTTTGTGAAAGGCCGCGGTGAAATACCCACCTACTTTGTAGGCATCGATGAAAACTTAAAGTTCATTTCCTCGAAATTCAACAATCGGGCTTCAAGGCGATTTACAGTTATGACATCATTGGATTCAGATGAATTTAGTGAGAATTCTGTTGAAGAAAATAAAAGCGAATAGTTTAATACATTCTTGCAGATACTAAAAAATGTATTAAAAGTGTATTAAAGTGTCTTTTATCAAAAGCATCTATATTCCAAAAATTGTTCGAGTCGGAACATAAATTAAAAATATGTTCAGTGACAATTTTGGAATTGTCACTTGAGAGTAAGAAAACGCAATTAGGTATACGGTTTAAACGCGCATATATTTATTCTTCTTTATTCTTGTGCTCATGTAAGTATGACAAATCAATATAGACCGGTATAGAAGACACATCTAACTAAACTCATAAAATTTTGTTTTTAAATACCAAATAATAGTCACCCAAATAGTTTTAAGGAAGGCTATCCTAAGTATAAGAAATATCGCCATAGAAAAAACTATTTTCTGTACTGTTCATTCGCGCTTGGAAGGTTAAAACGTCATTTTAGGCCATCACCTTTTTCGGCAATATTGCATAAAAACCTGCCCCATTGTGTAGAAATTCTTGATCAGGATCACTGGGATCAGATTCAATTCCTTTTCTAAAAGCTCTTCAGACTGACCTGATTTAGACTGATTTGACTAAAGCGTTTGATTCTGTAAAAACTTTCTCATCCAAAAATCCTTTTTCCGCTCCTTTTTACATTCATTAATGAGCTTCCTATACGCATCAAGTTAGGAAAACAACTTTTGATATCCAAACTTATAAACCTATTGACAATTTGCCGTTAATTATCCGTAAATTATTCGTGAAAGAAATAAAATTGCCGCTTAATTTTTTTAAAAATTATAAGGTGTTCTGCTAAGTTGATATCAAGTTAGGAGTACAACTCCTTAAACTTGAACATTTCCAAAATGTTTTTAACTGGTATTTTGCCGTTATTTATCCGTAAATTATTCGTGAAAGAATTAATTTTATCGCTCCATTTTTAAAATTTATCTTTTTGTTTTTAAGCGATTATTTTACGTATGTGTACATTGGAGAAAAATACCGATCCTTAGCACTGTAAGAATTCCCCTTATTCCCTTTCTTTGAAATGCAGCTTTACTATCAAGAAACGCAGGCCAATACAGCAGCAGTGTTAAACATCGTAACATCATAATTTTTCCAATGAGTTTTCACTTATAAAATCACTTGCAAGTGACACGTTCCAAGTGAAATCACTTGTGAAATTCAGTATTTTTCCCATGAGATTTCACTTATAAAATCACTTGCAAGTGACACGTCCCAAGTGAAATCACTTGTGAAATTCAGTATTTTTCCCATGAGATTTCACTTATAAAATCACTTGCAAGTGACACGTCCCAAGTGAAATCACTTGTGAAATTCAGTATTTTCCAGAGATTTCACTTATGAAAATATAGAATTTAAAATACATACATTTTTAATTACATTTAAATTAATTTTAATTACATCAAATTATTCAGATTTTTAATAAAGGGACTATTATTGTTAGTATTTCTGATTTTTTGTTTTGTTAGTTTGTTTTTCACGTTCTTTATCGCCTTTCTCAAACATTTTTCCGGGTCTTTGAAGCAAAAAATAATATAATAAATCAATCATAATAAAATAAATCAACATATATACACAAATATTCATCTTTTGACCAATAACCTATTAAAAACTTTTAAAAAATACAATATATGTTCATAACGAATAAAAAGTTATTCGGGTGGCTACCCCCAATTGTTTGTTAACATTTTTAATTTTATACTTGAATGTATATATTGTTTTGATAATTTTATTTTACATCTTAGAATATATTAATAATTCTGGTTTCACTTTGGCCAATTGTTCTGCAGCATGTGGTTTTTTTAACAGGTCGTCATAGACCGTCCACGTAGTGCGCCTTCGGCAAAAGGCTTTTTAGTGCGAAACTGTATTATTCATCCTGGTTGTCACTGGAGGACCAACGAAATCAATAAATCCGATAAGGCAATAATTTTCTCCGTCCTTGGGATTTTGTAATTTTTCAGGTATTGCCGAAATTACCAAAGGATGGTCAATGTCTAATCCAATTAGCACCAAATCACCTGGAAATATTAAAATATATTTGAAATCAGTTGAGTATTTAAAACTGAAAATTGTTTTGCATTTACCTATATCATGAATTCTGTTAATGCGTATGTTGGCGCATCCATCTTGGGGACATCTAGATCCTTCTAGAGCCACATGCTGCTGTATAGCATTTCCAAGGCCTTCGATCAGCTCCCGCGGTTAGTGTAATTGTAGGTAACTCGGTTATTCGTGGCTTACATCCAGAAGGACAAATGGAAATTTCTTTAAATGATGGAGTAGCTTTAAATATAAAATTAGCCAGGCTTACTACGTTGCAGCTGCAATCCACATTTTCAATGGAAATTTGTGGCTGTTTTTTAAAAAAGCCGATCATGATTTGTGGTCGTTTTTTATAAGTCTGAGCGTCAATTTTGGATTCAGACACATTAAGAACTGTTTCGAATAAATCATTGTCTTTTCTTTTCGTTGCAACATACTGGTTTAAAAGACTAGAGTCTGAAACTCCGGCCAAGAGTATCTGAAACAGACTGTCAAATGCACAAGTGTTGTGGAAAGAAAATGTTGACCCTTCTACATTTACTAGGCCTTAGGAGAAATCGTTGCCATTTTTCAAAATCGGCAAAGGGGTACACTTGGGCGAAAAAATATCATTTAAGTCGCAGTTCTCCTTATTAAGGTAAAGGTTGCGTTTTTTTATAGTTGGTCGCCCCAATCCTCTCCAGTTTTCTACCCCATTCAATGCCACTCTGGGTGAATATGGGAACAGAATATGCAAACCTGGATCTTTTTTCCATCGTCATCAAGAATTCGACCATCCTCGACCAAATTTTCACAAAGAAAGCAAGTTCCTGAAGTTCCAGCCACAGCTAAATCGGATACATTGCTGACATCCAAAAGTGGTTCTCTAGTTTGCTTTTGGTTCTCTACCTCGGAACACTCCCGATCTTCAAGGCTCAAATTTTGTTCATTTTTTGCAGAGTAATCAATCAACTTAGCACTTCCGTTGAAATATGTTATTAGCTTCTCCACAGCTGTGTCCATGCTGCATTTGGATCTTACCACTTTGTTTTTAATTGAGTTAAACTCGATTTCGACTGGTGCGCTACTAGCTGGGATCCTGCCGTATCCAAATTTGTTCCTAGCTATACTAGACCAAAGTGGAATCGTCCTGATCTGTTTTAGGATTTTTTAAAAAAATGGTCGCACTCACGAGGATTAAGATCGTCGCCTTCCTCCTTTTCTACAATTTCATCCACTTCCCTTTTTATGCACGAAGCCCATTGTGCGAGGTAGCTTGTTGTGTTCTGCAGATACTCAGCATCGAAAACGTTTTCAGTCGGATCTGCCGAGATATATAAAGAACATGTTCGTATAAAGTTAAGTTTAAATGTGTATAGTAATTTCTAAACTAATATAGTTTACCAGGGTCGTCGACAGTTCTTGTTTTTTCAGCTGCGTCAACAATAGTATTTAGCTGACTGTCTTCCTTTGCTCGACTTTCTATTAATTGGACCGATTCTTTCAAACAAGTAGCTCCATCTCCGCCTCGTTTACACAGTGAAATTATTAGCAATGCCCTAATAATAGTCCGCGCATCTTCGGGACTAGTTGCCAATGTGAGCTGCCCAATTCCAAATAGATAAAAACGTTTTACCGGTTTTTTTTTGTTCTTAAAAAAATTGTCCCAATTTTTCATATAGTGAGCGACGTCGATGCGTATGTATGCTATCGGCATATTGGCTGTCATGCAAGCATCTGCATACGCTTCAACCGTGTTGAAGGTCGCAAATGCTAAGCAACAGGCCGACAGCAAAGCCCTTGAAGAATCGCACACCTGCAATAAATCAAAATTAATATAAATATGTTGCTCATATAAGTAATAACTTCTCTAAAATACTACTTTTTTGGATTCTGAGCTCCTGTTTGGAGCCATCTTAATAGCCATGTTGTAATGGTCACCATGTCTTGTTTCTCCGTGAGCATAGATGATACCACCAGCTGACCGAACGGAGAGTGAAGTACAGCAATGTGTAGGAATATATGTTGAGACTTTAGTCCATCTATGTGAACATATTCCATATACCTGCCACCAGAGTCGTCAATGCACAGGGAACTCTGTTTTCTTAGTTTGTTAAAAACGCGAACCTGATGTGGTGACCAAAAAGGGACTTTAACTGGGTCCTTCCCTATCTCGCGAATTACACTTTGACCCATTTGGCTTCTTTTTAGGTCAGAGATGGCGTCCAGCGGATCTGCCTTCCTATATCGCTTTTTCCCTGCCTCGTACTTGGCATTTCTGCACACTGAAGCAGAATACAGGTGAGGTGACTCCACATCATCATCCGAACCCATAAGCTCAGAAGCTGTTTTGGTCCTGTAATATAGGGTCGACTCCTTCTCCAGATGTTCAGCTAAAACATATCTAGTTTGGCCTCGAAGCTGTCGTTTGCCGCACTCCATTTTACCTTTGTTGGCCGTGCACATCATTTTAAAAATCTCTCCATCTTTCAAAATTTCCGCAATATTGAAAGTTATATATTAACAGCCAATACAGTATTTGTTGACATAGATTTCTGGTGTAGAATATGAGTGGTGGGTTTATACCTTGGAATTTTCCCGAATTGTTCTCTGAATTTATATACATAGCTATTTTTAAACTGGTCATAAATCTTCTTCGATAAGATTTCCGTCCATTTTTGCGGTTGGAGAACATTAATAATTCTATGGCGCACAACACCTTTATTGTCCTTATATGTGCGAGACGTTTCCACAATCAACTTTTCCAACTCCGATTTTGTGAACGTAAGTACAAAATGGATCACTTGGCTTCCTTTTTTTTTGTCGGCTGTGTCGGATTCGTTGGAATCCGCCGAAAACTCTAGTTCGCTTGTCAGTTGCTTTCTCGGAACTGGAACTTTTCCTGTTAATTGAATTTTCAACCCGAATCTACATATTGTTTACTACATATGAGTAGAGTGTTGCTGGCTGAATTTTTTTTTTCAGATTCTCGGAAATT